GTATCACCATTGATAAGTATAGTTCATCCTCGAAGCAGAAGGTTTAAAAGGCAAGGTATTTTTGCTTACACTGCCTGTGGGTTGAAGCCTTCGATCTACAATAATAATCACAAAGGCAAGTTTCTTCTGAGGAATGGAGTGATGACCTGCAGTGGCGTAGCAGATCTTTTGGCACCCTTAGTGGAAAGTGCGGATGGGACAAAGCCCCATCACGTTTACGTAGTAAATAATGTATTGGCGTGAAAACGTAATTTTAATACCAGTTTTTAGTAGAAGTGAACGGTTTTCCATTGAGTCCAGTTTTGATCAAGACACTAGGGTTTTCCCCTGAGATTGCACAGAAATCATCTTTTGTCTCTTTACGATTGCTGGGAAATCGCAAATAACTATTTTCAGCAATCTTCAGTGACACTTTTTGTGATTACAAGGATAAAAGCTCCACCATAGCTTGATTATCTGACTTTGATAATTCAATCTATAACTAGAGCACTAAAAAAAAGAAAAGAAAAGAAAACTATGGATATAGACCTCACAGCTCACAGTGAATAAGTCTATTTTTGTGCTATTCAAATAACTAAAGACTATTCTTATAAGAGTCCTTGATGGAATGATGGAGGCTAGTGGCCATCTTGGATGATTTCAAACAGCTGCTAAAGAGTTAATTATCAACCAAAAATAGTTTTTCAAACACCAAAGTGATTATAATGCAAATATCTAGTATACTGTGAGATTAGAAATGTTCGTTGTTTTAAATGTAACTCCAAGGGAGTCCATGGAAGTCAACACGGCCATCTGGATTTGCCAACCAAAAGAGCAATGGGCCAGACCATACTTAATGGGGTATGGAGCTATTTAGGCCAGACTGAGTGGCCCATCATATACCAGACAGAAAGGCATCACTGCACTGCATACTAGGTGACAAGATCACCGCCTGCCTCAAGAGATATGTTGAGAAGTGCTTTGATAATTTGGTTTCTTGTATAAAAACTTATATGCTTTGCTTTCTTCCTCAACACCTGTCACGGGTCGGGAGTGGCTTGTGGTCGCTGGGTATGCAGTGACAGGGCCATAAGGACAGGGATCTTTAATCCATTCCAAGGAGGAGTGAGAAGTGTTTTTGTAGATTTCTCCACGCGTCAGGACAAAAATCTTGAGACAAAAAGCGCTTGCACTGCGCAGGATCATGATCAAGACTGCTTGCAAAAAATGCATACATGCTAAAATCCTTTTGCCCCATAATCAAATCAACTCCAGCATATTCATGACTCCTAAACGTAGCCCCGGGAATCTACTTATTGCATATCAGTTATCAACTAATTGAGGTGAGGATGCCACCTAGGTCCTTATTTTAACGCAAATACGAGTGTTAGGCTCGATGATGTAGAATCATTGACTATTGGATCAGTCAAAGATAGAAACTGGAGTAACCTTTGTAGCGTTGCTAATACTGACTAAGAATTCGCTGTTTCATTAGTCAGAATCATTTAAAGCCCAATTAAGAGGGGAAACCTAACTCCAATTTAGAACTATCAAAAAACTACTGACTTCTCTTAGGATCGAACAGGAGACCTTTTGATTGTTAGTTGAGCACTTTAAGCTACCGATCCAGTTAGTTACTGGAGTAAATTCTTTATAAAGGAGAAAAACAGGAAAAACGGACTGAAAGGGTACAAATGGTTAGAAACTTTCCTTTAAACTCTACATTATGTAAATTTCTTGTACATCAATTGTATTAGATCGCTGTGTTAAAATGACGGTTGAAAATCTAGGTTTCCATATAGAAGGGATTTTTAATGTAGTATATTTGCATCGTATGGCCATGTTTTACAAGTTATCATATAAATAAAGCATATTTTAGTACCATCAAATTATACCATGTAGCATGATGACACTATAAATTACCCGGTACCCTATTAATAACCATGCACGTACTGAAGGTGTACGTTAAGTATAATTTCATTTTCCAAGTACTAAATATTTTATAAAATTAAACATTAATTTGAATGCGAATATAGTATGTTGATCGAGGTACGATAATTTTAGTTTTGGGACAGATTTATTTTTACCACACCTGAAAATGTGGATTGGACACACTGAATCGAAATTAGTGTTGGTTCTGGTTGCATCTGCATGCAATGCAAAAAACAGTCACAACAAAACCAATATCCTAAGTCGGCTGCTGTTGGCTTTACTGTTGCGTTGCAGTGTTTCTGTTGATTTTGATTAACTTGTATACTGTATTTTCGCAGATTTAGAGACGTCGATCAGTATTTGTCACTTGTTTTGTTTTGTTTATATGTTTATCTTGATCGTGAAACCGAGACATAGTTTATCAGTATTTGTAAACGCATTTTAAAGCTAGTTTAATTTGGGAAAAGGGTGATTAACTGTGCCGTATCCCTCTTATGGGTTAAGGAGCTGTCTTTTTATTTTTCGTTTTCCTACTGAGAAGGCTGAGAGCAAAGGTTTGGTAAGTAATTATTAACTGTATTCATTAATCTGTTTATCCCCCATATCCTTATCCTCAGCATTTGATCAAGGACTAGGGCTTACATTATGACTAAAAGTACAGAACTTAATCAAGGTTCTGAACTTGGCCTAGGCCTAAGTTTACACCTGAAACCTGAAACAGGGAGAAATCCCAATAAATTGTTTATTTCGACATAGTTCAATGCTCACAGTTTCACAACTTTTAAGCCTAGGTATAAGTAACCTCCTACCGTTAAGTTGCTGACAAAATATTTCAACAGATGCCAGTACCTATTATTTATTTATTTATGACATGCATGGCAAACACCATTTTACAATAGTGTTGACATTTGTATGAACTGGTAATAACTTACAGTAACTTAGGCCTACTGTACTATATTACAGGTAATTACTTACCTGTTATATAGATAAAGCGCAAGTATCCGATTTTGATGAAATATGGTATAAACAAACCTACGTTTATTCGTACGAGTTCGCCAATAAGCACAATCAGGCAAGGGGAACAGGGTTTTATGGGGTAAAAATTGATTTTTCCTATTTTTGACCCTAAAAACACAAAATTTTTAATGTTAGCATGATCCCTTCCAAACCTTTTTGTACAGAATAAAAGAAATATCTAAGTTAAAGTTAATTTTGTATATTGAAGCGTTGTTGTTTCCAACTTATGCCCAACAGTAAAACGAAGATAGGTAGCCTAATTCAATAAATTGTAAATTTAAATTTCCACCATAAACTGTTGTAAGTTTAAGTTAAATAGGAAATTAATCTGAAAATTTTAAGGGAAAGTTTTGGTAGAAATCCAGCCTGGTAAATATAATAAATGGAAATTCGCTTTGTCTGCAGGTTTGCTGCATAGGAGATCCTGGCTAAAGAATCAGATGGGATTAATCAGTACCGTAATGACACTTATAAGCAGTTCTTTCTGTGCTCATATTTGATCAATGTCAGTCTCAAACTACATGCACTGTTGTTTCAATGTTTTGTTATCTATTACTGTAGCCTACCTTACTATAAAATGCAAAGACTTCACTGACTGACTGCCTGACTCACTTACTCATTACAAATTCTCCAACTTCCCATTTACCTAGAAGTCGGAAATTTAAAACACTGATTCTTTAGGCGTTAACTAGGAAAACTTTTAAGTACCCTAAGGTAGTTTTTCTAATCTGACTTTCAGGCTCCGCCCCAGTGGCACTGGAGTTTTCCATGTTAACCTTAAGATTTTTCATTTTGAAAAGGAACCGAATTTTTGAATTTTCGAAGGGAGGAATTTTTTTTGGGGGGATGGCCCGTCCTTCGTACGGGAATTGAGTTGTCAGTTAAGGCTGCGCTCTACCTCTACCCGTCTGGCACGCGCAAATGCAAAGGGTTTGGTTCTTACTGCTTTGTAGCCCCAATTGTGAACCGATTTAAAAGATGTTGGTGTCATTTTTTCATAACATTATTGTAGGTCCGGCGCTTTTTAAAATTTAGATATTAAAAAAAATTTTGGGTTTAAAGGTTGGTATGGATGTTAAAATACGTGTTTTTATCATCCTGAGTTTTAACGCACACAAATAATTTTTAGAGAAAAAATAACAAACGGGGGATGTGCAATAGATTCATAAAAACAAGAATCTGCAGTTAGTTCAAAAGGTTGTAGGCTATAAAAAAAAAAAAAAAACAATCACCCAGATTCAAAAGGCTAGCAAGTGCTCTTCATGGCGCTGTTCAGTGCAATGGTATAGGGACATTGGCGTCATACTGAGAAATCTGAGCTGAGGTAAGGCGCACCCTTAAAACTGTATTTCATTCAGAACGGCTAGTCCTCAATATATTAGATTTATTTAAAACCAGCTGTAGTATCAATCAATTACCGGTATCAATTATTTAAGATGGGGACGCCACTATGTGCCTATTTCAACCTAAATGAGTGAAGGATGAGTGGCGTGATCTTGTAGTTAGTTGTTGTTAGTCACTAAGGCCGACATATTCCTTAGTTAAAGCTGTTAATTAAATTATAGCCCATGTACAGCTAATGGCAACTAAGGGACCTACAGATTATAGCGGAACCACATTTTTGCCTCGGTATTAACAAATTGGTCTAATTATAAGGATAGTACCGTACTGCGGATGGTCGTAGTACTCACTAGTGCGGTCGTTAATCCACACCAGGGAGTATCGCATCCACAGTGCATGCCTATAAATATCCAAAATTTGTGACCTAGTAGCTGGATTACAGGACGACGCCACCCGTCCCAGCCTAATGGCTATTTGTCTTAACATAACAGATGCCTGGTAAACAAGCAAACATCAATAATTGACTTAGTTTAGCTTATTCCAATAACAGTAGTAATACCATGTCTCTTATTTTAAATTGATTGAGTCACAGCTTGATCTTATCATATTTTTATCCTTACAAAGTCCTAAAAGTACAAAAGACATTCTACGATTATCTCAACATTTTGACGAATAATTAGGTACCTTTAAAAATATACTAAGGTCGGATAGTTACATATTTTCTTGAAAAATAGCTTTAAAAATGTAAACTACAATGCAAATATAACAATTTTTCATGAAATTTTGTAAATGTTTATTATCTCTTCAAACCAATTTTATGACATACACTGGCATATACTCTGTGTCGTTTTGCCTGGTAAAACTTTCATATTCGCCAGTGCTCAGTACAACGCACACGAGGATATACTGACATGTAGTTATTGAGTCAAAGGCTTCTTTTGGGGTTCTGTAGAACCTTGGATCTCTATCCCCTTGTCTATAATCTTTGTTTCCGTATCTTCTGACGTCCATGTTGTATTCTAATGCTGTCTGAAGTTGTGTTTCATCTGTCAATGGATGATAATATTTCACCTGAAAATCATATGTTTACTTATTTAAAAAATGTAAAATCCAATGATGCTCACAGTTTAAAAGGTTTATTGCTAATTGAACTACAGATCAAAATCAACTTTGCATATGGATGACCTGCAGTTCTTAGATTTTGTGGAAGAAAATGAGTCATTGTTTAGTCCGTTTTTATTTTTAAAAATGCCCTAGACCTCCCAAAATTAATCTCACTTTTACACAACAAATTAACTGTGCAGACTACTTCAAAATAAGGGATATTTAGTAATTTTGGTTTTAAAAAACCTAATTATTAAAAATAACCTCTGTACCTAAATGTTTCCTACATTCAAGGGAATTTCTATGTAGGCTATGTAAGTTACCTCATCAACAAAATGTGACATAATTCATGTCTCAAACTTATCAATATTGTTCATTTTCTTATTTATTTATTTCTTGCATTGTTTTAAACATAGCGTACTGTTATAATTAGGCTATATAACATTTTTTATTACAACCAAAACGGTCAGTGAACTTTGGAGCTAAACTTTAGCTCCTCTAACCAATGTAACACTATATTGTAGCAAAATAGGCCTACTCTATATAAAAATTCTTGATACATACCTTAGGATTCGTATATTGAGGTTGCACTGTATTTGTATTTTTTATGTTATACATTTTAACGTAGTCTGATCAAGACATAACTTAATGGTATTTAGAGTGGCCTGAAAAATCAAACTGAAAAGGAGCTCAAAATTAAAGAACTTAATAATTTACCTCATTAACAATCTCGTCCCTATTCTTCTTTTGTTCCTGACGCAGAAGTAATCGTCCCAATTGGAACGGATTTTGGACTCGTTGAACTTTTGTTACTCGGCCATACAAATCCCCTTCCCTAAATACCTCCATTTCTCTTGAATATTCCGTGCTGTGCGTCGGTAACTCAAAAAGCCTGTATCTGTTGCTGACATAATCTTGGCGAGTTACATTTGATGAATTAACACCCTGCCATTCTGGAGGAATGCAGGTTTGAATGACGACGTCCAAAATGCTGGAATCACGTTAACAATTAATTTCAAACACAAGTTTCTAAAACAGGCCTACTTTCTACTTCTACTGTTTCATCCATACTTTGTAATTATGAGTCTTAAATTCTAAAAATTTGTTAACGCCTATTCTAAAAGGTGCCTATAGGATATGTTTTCAGTGGGGGCAAACTTACTTTTTCCAGAAATATCCCTCTCAAATGATTTTTATAAAAACACTTAAATTGACTACCTAAATGCCAGGATTTTCTTTCAGAAACATTTACAATTTACTTAATTGTCTCTAAGTTATTAATGAAGGTTCTGAACCAACAAAACAACGTAAAACATGAATGAAACATAAAAATTAGAAACTAAGCCAATTTAATTTATGAATATTTATGAATATGAATTTGAACACATTTTCAACAAACACCCCGAGCAAAGCTCGGTCCCCTGGTAGGCCTACTATTAAACAATTTAGGTTGAAATATACACTGTTCTTTATTAATTAATGATAGGAATTAAATTACAGCCGTATATAATTTATAAATTCAGTCATATTTTTCTACAAGTTCTTCTTAGACTGTGCGATCTTATCGACTTGGCAGGGTTCGTGTTTAGATATGGTAACTATTTTTGATTTATTATGTGTAAAAATACTTAAATTACGGTTGAAAAACCAATTAGTGTGCCCTTAGATATTTTGGATACATTGCAATGTCTTAAAGCAAAGTTAACGAATAGATTATTTGAAAAATTGGCTTTTCCTAAGGAGAGCGGGCCCTTCTCATGTCTATGCTTCAATTACGACTACGTTCAAGTTCTATCCTTAAATATTTATATAAATATTAATCGAAATGTAATGGTTGTACTTACTCCATGGTAAATTGGCCACTCTTATTCGGTGATTCAAATATATCCTACAAATAGTGTATGAAACAGTTTTTGATTAGTAGGTAGGCTAAAAATGATTTAGATTCACTAGAAAAGGATTTCTTGTCTAAGAAATTTGTCGCTTCTTGGAATAAAACTCTACGACCCTCTACCTGTAATACTAACACTTAAAAACCTTCAATAAGATTAAAACCGAAGGAAACCGAGTTTATATTGATTTGTCACCAAGAAGATTTGTCAGGCACTTGAAGATTGGCAAACCTGTTATCTTTACAACAGATAAAAATGGCTGAAAGTAACTGTTAATGTAAAATTCAAATACTTCTTTTTACTATTGTTGATGAGTAATACCAAGATACATTATCGTATTGGTACTTAGTTTTAATTTTGAAAAGGTTTAAAAAGAATAGTGATAAGTTTGATACTTTTGTATTGAATTTGGAAATATGTGAATAATTGCAAACAAACTTGAAACTTAGCACTCAAATTTGAAAAATTGAGAAGAGTAGCACTTATTTAGTGGCTTAAATAACCTTTTTTTGTTAGTGGCAGATATACAACTGAAATATATCTTTGATTGGACAAGTTTATGAACGTGAAAAAATCACTTTCCACTTTTAATGCCTTTTCCAGAGTTACCTAACTGGCTCAGCTTGAAATTTAGAATATTTCTTAACTTTTGACTCATAGTTTAGTATTAAGGCTGATCTTAAAGTTATTTAGCCATCGATATAGTCATATTAGTTAGGTTTAATGTTGACGAGTTAACGATCTTTCCAGATTCTTCCATGGCCGCCCTTCAGTCATTTTGTATTTTTTATTGCCAGTCTGCACACTTTATTTGTGTCGAAGTCAATGTTTGTACCGTATTGTTTTCAGTTCTTCCAATGTGTCACTAAAGTTAGTTCACACTCTTAAACAACACTGTTTGGAAAGAATATGTCACCTATTGCAGATAAAATGAATGAAATTGGGAATGAATGTTATTGTTTTTACTGTTCAATTTAAGGTTAATTTAATGATATTTTGCTAATACCATGAACACAGACTCACAGACAGTAATATAAAAATGTTGTGTGTATACTAAAATTTAGTTGTTTTGGTTTGTAAATACAATTTTGACAGTTTCACCTCCAGAATATCAATCAGCTGATTCATCACATGTGTTAGGAAAGTGATTAATGAGGTGAAGCATTGATTAATGTTCGTATAATATCTAGAGTAGGCATATATTGTTTATTACGTTATAATATTACTGAGATTTCATCACGGCTATTAAACAACTAAAGGCTGACTCTGCACACAATTTACTTTGATTTTTCTAATTTCTCAGTTTTGATCGTGAAATCATATTGTATGATGTAGTATTTATGATGTTATATTGACTGCCTATTTATGGTGAAATTTAGATTGCATTCAATTAAAAACTGATTACTGAATTTTGTATAAATCTCTACGCAAAACTCATCCCTTTCAATAAATCATGGGGGCGTCTCAAATATCCGCAATGCCCTCGATTGAGTGGTGTTTTCCAAATTATACAAGCACAATTAAATAACCCTAATTTTAAATAATAAATAACAATAATTATAGGTAATAAATAACACACAACAATAATTGTGGAAACTTAACGAAAGGGTTATAGTAGTATATTTTTTGTGAGGAAAGGTAGAAAGTCATTTCATTCTTACATGCAACTATTGACCTACATTTGCCTTTGGTACCATATCTATGAGATAACATTGCTTAAATAATCTATGTTTTGTTGTGCAGTAAGCCAGAGATTCAATTGTTTGGAGAATGATTTTAAATTTGTAAGAGTTTTAACTCAATACGTAAAAGACATTCGACGAGCAAAATTTTAACAAACGCAACATAAATAGACCAGAGGAAATTCTACTTCTAAATTTGTCTATATGGAACAACCAAGATAAAAATTGATCAATCAGTAGTCCTAGAAATTTTGTCTGAGCAACGTGAGTCAAATAATTGTCACCAACTATTTGATAACGATTTGATACTATTTGATAACAAACTTGATTTGATATTAGCCATACTGAATAATGGCTAAAATCCATTTATCAGAAGATATACATTATTTTTACAGTACACACTGTTAACTAACGATTACAGTTGGTGAATCAGAGCTGTGACGTAACAATTTTGTTACGAAGCAATCACTTATCACTTATCAGTGGCCAGTGAATCATTGTCACATGACAAAACTGTGAATCCCAGACTTTTGATTTGTCAAGTTTAAAATTAACCTCCACTAGCATAAAAGAAAAGTAGGTCGTGCAGTTTCGCCAAAGAGTTCCTTAATCGCGCCAAACCCTAAAAGGGTCCCAAAAATTTGCCTTACGCTCCTTTCACACTATACGATTTCGCTCGTGCGTTTATTAATCGTATTTGTTGTATCGCATTGGAGCTTATGGCCCCTTTCACATTATACGATTACCAACCGTGTACGATTTTGGATTTTCACCCGCGTAGCGACCGTAGGTGCACACGGTTGGTATCCGACTCCCGCACGAGTAAAAATCGTGTCTACTGCTAGTGGCCATGTGACCATATGGCCCCTTTCACACTACACGATTGTAGTCGTGCGGGAGCCCTCCCCAAGTGCAGTTTGTTGCGTATAGTTTTAAGATATTTTGCATTTACAGTTGTTTAATTGTTTAATTATTGAGTTGAACTACCTGTGCATACTGTATTTTATTATTTAGTTTTTGTTATTAATTACAGGTTTGTCTATATAGTTAAAATTATGAATGTGATTGATCTTGAAGCTTTAAACGATTCTCTTTAAATCCGAAAATAGTTTAAACACTTTTCTTCGTCATTTCTCAGGTCTTGAAATAATATTTTAAACACCCCCACTTCCTCACGTTTCAAATTTATTAATACGACTATTATTAAATTTATTTTTCTCCGATAAATTATCAAAGTAGCAATAATTTGCTCGCGGTCCATACTACTTAAAACTTTCAACTGAAATGTCAATGAACTCTGTTGTAATGGAGTGGGGGTTAAGATTTTTTTTAATCGTGCGATTACAAATCGTATTAGTGTGAAAGAAACAGACCCACGATCATCTGCCCGTACGATAAACACTCGTACGAGCGAAATCGTATAGTGTGAAAGGAGCGTTAGTTACGCCAAGTCCAGATAAGGGTGAGTTGCCGGCAGAAGGAATGTCCTTTTGTTTACGAGTCATCCTAACCTAACCTACTCAATAGTCAAAGAAGGCCGACACTTGATGCAGTTAATGAACGTATAGGGTGGCTCCCTGGAGTAGTTGGTGCAATTCAGAAATACCCGAATACTTAGATCAGTTGGCACAATTAATTCCCACCCGAAGAATATAGCCTACTCTTCAAATTTTTGTTGGCTACCACAAACATGTCGACTAATAAAACGCGTGTTTAAGGAAATATAAATGAAAATCATACTACAATGCGACGTCTTACAGACCCCCAAACGCCCTTCAGAGAAAAACAATATCTTAGGTTCATTGAAATCGTTGCTTAGGTGTGAAAATATATTTGATTGATCATTACGTGGGCAGTTAGTTATTAAAACAATTATAGTCGATGTAGGCTATGCATGAAGATGTTTGTTTAATCTGGAAAGTTGTAATAGTTTCCATTCAAAACTTAAAAGTTGATTACCTAATATACCAAGTACGACCTTAAAGCTGTGAAGCACGTATATCGCTTCCCTTAATTAAAATGAAAAGCACAAATATAGCTTCTCGTAGTTAAAATGTAAAGCATGAACATAGCTTCTATTGATTAAGCTGAAAGGCACAAATATAGCTTCTCTTAGTTAAGATGTGATGTTAAGCAAGAATATAGACTACCTTCTTTTGATTAAGCTAAAGTAATTATTTTGATAAAGTCAATAATTACAGTTTTAAGTTTGGATTTGATTTAACAAGTATTCGCCGAAAACAAAGGAACGCTTCGTGGAATCTTGACAGATAAGTGCGTGATCAAGCTGAATGGAAAGGAAATAACATGTCACTTCTGCTAAGTCGAAATCAATAAAGTACAATTATCTAATAGTAGGCCTACTACCTGAGTTGGCATTTTAAACTATACCCTGTTTGAATAAAAATTACCTTCTTATGGACCATTTAGATGCGCATAATTATTCTAATGCCATTGATTAAAAAAAATAAGTAATCCTTATAACATTGGCAATAGCTACCTATTTTGGTTGCAGTTTAAAGAATCCTCGTATTTATACAGGGTGTCCCGGAACTCTCTACCAATATTTTAGGGCATTGTTACTGAGGAGGAAAAATACCTAAATATCACATTTAAAGTCCTTAGTTACTCACACAGGCGCCATTTGGTTTTTCACTTATTATTTTTTCTAATAATATTATTAGAAAAAATAATAAGCTACTTAAGTATCTTTAGCTACTTAAGTAGCTAAAGATATGATATTGAAACTTGCACAAACATTTATGACAACTAGACAAAGCTATACAAAAGTATGACAGTTTTTCAAATTCACAAAACAAAATGACGGCTATTTAAAACTTTTGTAAAATCAACGGTTTTTGAGTTATTTAGTTATTTAAGAAACAAAATTTTAAATAACCGCTTTTCTGTTTTATGAATTTGAAAAAAATTCATAATTTTTGTATAGCTTTAGTTGTCATAAATGTTTTGTGCAAAGTTTAAATTTCGTATCCTTAACAACTTTTTAGAAAAAAAATAATACCGTAAGTGAAAAAAACTAAATGGTGGCTGCGTGAGTAACTAAGGCCTTCCGGACAATTTAAATATGATATTTAGATATGTTTCTTACTCAGGAACAATGTCCTAAAATATTGGTACAGAGTTCCTGGGCACCCTGTATAATTATGTAACTATTACTATTAGTATATAGGCCTACATGCAGACGCAGAAAATTGAGAAAAACTACTAGTTATCTAATATAATCTTTTTTATTTACAGGTGGTCATGTCGAACTCAAAAGAAACAGATCCCGAGTTGGGTGGAACATCGGAAAACGTGCCTTTCAGCGGTATATGTAAGTTTTATGCATTTTACTTTGATTCATAAATGTAGTAGAATCATACTAATATTTTAGCAACGGCTTTGTTTTGTGTGTTATAATGCTGTGTGTTATGCTGTATCGTAATACTTAACAATTTTATTTAAGCTCTGGGTAAAATTTAATGTAATTTGGGTGTATTATTAATATACTTCCGGAACACGACACTGTGAGATATGGCTGTTTTTTTTTTAGTGATAAGGTACAGTATATTTAATTTGGTAATACAGTATACGCAATGAGGACTAGGAAACGGACAGAGGAGATAAAATTAAAATACGATCAATTTCTCGGTCGGCAAATTTTCTTCGGACGTTGCT